CAGTAGGGGGCCCCATGAGATGCCCCTGGTACATTTTTCATAGGCTTTTTTGAGTTTGGGCAAGGACACAGGGGCCCCATGATCCCCTATTGCCCGGGGGCCCCATGAGTTGTCAGCCCGCCCCTGCCCCCTACTGACCGCGGGCCCTCGGGCACTGCCTTAGTTTTCAAATGGTCAGTCCATCCATGGCAGTAGGTCATGGTCTCTGACATGTGCACAATCTTTGACTAAACATTTTAAAATGTTTACAGAATCTCACAGTCTTCTGCAGCATTGAAAAGAGAATATTATGTGTGTCCCTTTGGTGGTGTCAGTGGCTGTACTTGAATAAGCTGAGCACTACTGCTCCACATACAAAAGAGATATAAATAGGAAATACAGTAAATTACACAGCCATAAAATGTTCCTGTACCCTTGTTTATAAGCCAATAAAATGATAAACAAAAATGTCATCATGGATATAAAGCTTTCACTTCATTCCAGCAATCAAGTCGATGATATAAAAAGCCATATTATACATCATTTGACATTGACATTAACTTTTGCTTCAAGGGTGGGAGAGGACAAATACTTGTCCCAATTACTGTTGTTACTATTAAAATATCCTGTGAATTTTACAAAATGTGCAGATAACCAAGCTTAAAGTAATGAATAGCGTTTGTTTTGGAAAAAAATAATTAAACTTTTTTTTTATTTTAAAGCCAAAATATCAATTTTAAAAGTGCTAAAGATTTTTCTTTCTGTTTATTGACAGTGATTAAACCACATTAAAGCCCTTTAAGGTAAGATTTAGGACTTGATTTATAAAGCAGTGGTATGGGCTTACCCTTATTTAAAAAAAAAACAAAAAACACTAGCACATTTAAAAAGCACATAACGTATATGTGCTGTATAAATGTATATTATTTGTCTGGCCTCTTCCTTCAGCTTGATGCAGAAATCTGTGTGTGGTACATTGAAGGCATCACACTGTAGCATGCATTTTATCAATCTTTGTGGTAAAAGCTAGTTTATATATACACAAATTTTGTTTTTTTATAAAATTGTGTGTTGGAAAGATATCGTATGTGTTATTGTTCTTTAATATTGTTTGGTAACATCACTTATAAGTTATTAATGTGTATTGCTGCTACCGATTAGATTTTCACTACATATATTTATTCTATAGTACTTGAAACAAAAATTCCACACAGTCCTAAAGCAAATAAACCTTTTTGCAAAGCTGTCCCTTTTGTCATTAAAAACTGCTTTGAGTCAAAGGCATGTGACTGTTGTTGGGAGTTGCAGTCAGGGAGAAAGTTGTCACCCATCTGCTGCATGTAAAATATATGTATATATATATATATATATATATATATATATATATATATATATATATATATACAGTGAGGAACAGAAGTATTTGAAAATCCTGTGATTTTGCAAGATCTCACCTCGTGGAGTATCACTGATGATAAGAAAGGTGAGGAATCAGCCCAGAACTACAAGGGAGGAGCTGGTCAATGACATGAAGAGAGCTGGGACCACAGTTTCAAAGGTCACTGTTGGTAGAACACTACGCCGTCATGGTTTCAAATCATGCATTGCACAGAAGGTTCCCCTGCTCAAGTCATCACATGTCCAGGCCCGTCTGAAGTTTGCCAATGACCATCTGGATGATCCAGAGGAGGCATGGGAGAAAGTCATGTGGTCAGATGAGACCAAAGTAGAACTTTTTGGTTTTGGTCTAAACTTCACTCGTCGTGTTTGGAGGAAAAAGAAGGATGAGTTGCATCCCAAGAACACCATGCCTACTGTGAAGCATGGGGGTGGTAACATCATGCTTTGGGGGAGCGTTTCTGCGAAGGGGACAGGACGACTGCACTGTATTAAAGAGAGGATGAATGGGGTCATTTATTGTGAGATTTTGAGCAACAAACTCCTTCCCTCAGTCAGAGCATTGAAGATGGATCATGACTGGGTCTTCCAAAATGACAATGACCCGAAGCACACAGCCAGGGATAACCAAAGAGTGGCTCTGTAAGAAGCATATCAAGGTTCTGGAGTGGCCTAGCCAGTCTCCAGACCTAAATCCAATAGAACATCTTTGGAGGGAGCTGAAACTCTGTGTTGCTCAGCGACAGCCCCGAAACCTGACAGATCTAGAGGAGATCTGTGTGGAGGAGTGGGCCAAAATCCCTGTTGCAGTGTGTGCAAACCTGGTCAAGAACTACAGGAAACGTTTGACCTCTGTAATTGCAAACAAAGGCTTCTGTACCAAATATTAACACTGATTTTCTCAGGTGTTCAAATACTTATGTTCAGCAGTGGAAGATAAATAAATTCTTTAAAAATCATACAATGTGATTTTCTGATTTTTTTTTTAATTCTGTCCCTCAGAGTGGGAATGCACCTACAATGTCAATTTCAGACCCCTCCATGATCTCTAAGTGGGAGAACTAGCAAAATCGCAGGGTGTTCAAATACTTCTGTTCCTCACTATATATATATATATATATATATATATATATACAAACGCTCCTGTAAACTATATTGCCAAAAGTATTGGGACACCCCTCCAAATCATTGGATTCAGGTGTTCCAATTACCTCCATGATCACAGGTGTATAAAATCAAGCACCTAGGCATGTAGACTGCTTCTACAAACATTTGTGAAAGAATGGGTCGCTCTCAGGAGCTCAGTGAATTCAAGCATGGTACCTTGATAGGTTGCCATCTGTGCAATAAATCCATCCATGAAATTTCCTTGCTACTAAATATTCCACGGTCAACTGTTAGTGGTATTATAACAAAGTGGAAGAAACTGGGAACAACAGCAACTCAGCCATGAAGTGGTAGGCCACGAAAAATGACAGAGCCGGGTTCAGCACATGCTGAAGTGCACAGTGTGCACAAGTCGCCAACAGTCTTCAGAATCAATACCTAAAGACCTACAAACTTCATGTGGCCTTCAGATTAGCACAACAACAGTGGAAAGAGAGCTTCATGGAATGGGTTTCCATGGCCGAGAAGCTGCATCCAAGCCTGAGTTTTGGCAGTTGCCAGGAGAACAGTACTTGCCTGACTGCATTGTGCCAAGTGTAAAGTTTGGTGGAGGGGGGATTACGGTGTGGGGTTGTTTTTCAGAGGTTGAGCTTGGCCCCTTAGTTCCAGTGAAGGAAACTTTTTAGGCGTCAGCATACCAAGACATTTTGGACAATTTTCATGCTCCCAACTTTGTAGGAACAGTTTGGGGATGGCCCCTTCCTTGTCCAACATACCTTTGGGATGAATTAGAGCGGAGACTGCAAGCCAGGCCTTCTTGTCCAACAACAGTACCTAACCTCACAAATGTGCTTCTGAAAGAATGGTCAAACATTCAAAACATCCTCCATTCACCTTCAATGGTCTAATGCAACCCATTCCGCTGAATGGGGATGCCTCACAACCATGCACAATTAGCACAGTTGCAGCGAGGTGCTACAGGTTTTTAGGGGTTAAATTAGGAGGTGAGAAGGCAATATAATGCTTCCTTCCTGCCTGTCAAACACCCTCTCAAAAATGGGCCACCATGAATCACTTTTCAGAGGATGACATTAGTGTAAACTAATCCACAGCAATAATGCCTTTTAGATGTGTCACTCCAAATGTGTTGGGTACTGAACAAGAATTGAAATGTAGTATTGTGGGTCTTCACCCCCAACACCTGGTCTGGCCAGCTTCTTCTACCTGGGGCCTGGGTGCAATGCTTCTCCCGCCAGTGGATTCTCTGGAGTTGGGAGCTCGAGACTGCCCAAGAGTACCGCTATTATCCCTCCTGGACAGCGAGATGGGCAACTGGGGCTGGGGGGAACTAAGCAGAGGTAGAGTGGGGGCTACCAAATTCTGTGCACTAATGTGATAATCCCAGCTCTGCAGCTATATTTTAAAAAACTTGCCCAGGTCCCATGTCAGTGGGGGGCCAAGGGCAAAAAAGGGACTATTTAGTCACTTTAGGGTTTAAGTGGATTCATTGGCAGCAGCGCTCCCAACAATTACTCTTCTACCTCAATATGTCTGCAGCACCCGAGACTTTGTTAGCGCTGCTGCAAATGACCCAAAAGTCATTAAATAGCACCTTTTCTGCCCTTTGACCCCCTGAACACAGAGGGCCTGCGAAGTGTTTTTAAAAAAGCAGGGATTACCACATTGTTGCACAGAATTTGGGAGTGCTCTACCTCCGGGACCCCCATGCTTTATCAGTGGCCCTGCACAGCTGTGCCAGATTTTAAGTGCCAAACACTTAAAAATTAAAAAAAAAAAATTGAATTTCAATTAAAAAAAAAAAGTTTAGTAGTTGAAGATTCAATTATGCCTGCTTTTGGATTTTATTTTTCACCATTTTTTGAGTGTTTTAATCACACAAATAGTGTGGGTGGAAATCTTGCATATTAATCTACTAAAACTGGAAAGTGCAAAATCTGGTGCAGCTCTGCACAGAAATCAGTCAGCTTCCAGGTTTTATTTTTTTGTCAGAGCTTAGCTAAACAAGCTGAAAGACAAAGCTCATTGGCTATCATGTGTAGCTGCACCAGATTTGGCACTCTCCAGTTTTAGTAAATCAACCCCATTTGTGTTATTTAACTGCCTCCCGCCAGATATAAGATAATAAAGATAGCATGTAAATAGGGAAATGCCGGTTATCTGCATTTCTCTCCTCATGAGCTGTCACGCTGACAGCTCGAGAGGAGAGGAGAGACGGTAATCAACATTCCTCGGAGACATGTACACTGATCATCAGGGTACTGATGATCAGTGTGCCCTGATGATCAGTGTAGCCCCATCAATGCCGGCTGTCATTGCCCATCAATGCCACCTGCCAGTGCCCATCAGTACCTCATCAACGCCACATATCAGTGCTTACTAGTGCACATCAGTGCCACATATCAGTGCCCATCTGAGCTGTATTTCAGTGTTACCTATTAGTGCCAGTCAGTGCCACCTATCAATGTCAGTCAGTGCCACATATCAGTGCCAATCAGTGCCACCTATCAGTGCCAGACAGTGCCACCTATCAGTGCCAGTTAATGCCACCTGTTAGTGCCGCCTATCAGTGCCAGTCAGTGCCACCTATCAGTGCTCATCAGTGCTCCTATCAGTGCCAGTCAGTCCCGCCTAACAGTGCCAATCAGTGCCACCTAACAGTGCCAGTCAGTGCCACCTATCAGTGCCACCTATCAGTGCCATATATGAGTGCTGCCTTTCAGTGCCCATCAGTGATGCCTGTCAATGCCCACCAGTGCCACCTACTAGTGCCTCCTCATCAGTGCCCATCAGTGCCAACTCTCAGTGCCCAACAGTGCAGCCTATCAGTGCCCATCACTGCAGCCTCATTAGCGCACATCAGTGAAGGAGAAAAATCACTTATTTACAACATTTTATAACAAAAACTAAGAAAAAACTTTTGTTTTCAAAATTTTCAGTTGTTTTAGGTTTGTTTATAAAAAAAAAAAACCCAGAGGTGATTAAATACCACCAAAAGAAAGCTCTATGTGTCTCAAAAAAATCATAAAAATTTCATATGGGTACAGTGTTGCATGACTGCACAATTGTCATTTAAAGTGCGACAGCGCTGAAAGCTGAAAACTGACCTGGGCAGGAAGGGGGTATAAGTGCCCTGTAGGCTAGTGGTTAATCTATGAATATTTGTGGGGAAGCATAAGCGACAATATGGTTTATTCTGAGGGATTTTATTTTGCTATTTTGTATTATAGGTCCACACTTTGTGGGGTGGTTGCAGGAATTCTTCCAGCACCTGCAACCACCCGCAGCCAAAATGCGCTGCTCTTTAGAGATGTCTGTGGCTGCCATTCATTTTTAATGATACCCCCAGGCATCTCAACCTGCAGTGTGTTTGCACATGCAGGAACCATAGAGAAATCACATGGTGCAAAAGCACCATGTGATTTCCTTTCGGTTGCTTTTTTTAAGAGGTTTAAGCACCTTTTTTTTTGTGGGAAGGGCAGGCACAGCAGCCCATTCAAAAATTAATAGGCTACTGTGCCCGTGCAAATGTGGTTGTGAATCCAGGGTTATAGTTGTCACTTTTTTAGACATATTGACACTAAAAGCTGAAATAGTGGGATATTTGAAAAGTATTAATATGCAATATTGAAATTCATATTGATCTGACTTAAAAAACATTTTTAAATCATATTTTTTAGCCTTGATCATAATAAAGACAACAAATATGTACAAACTCTTTGTACATTCTAGTTAATCCAGCAAGGCATTGAAATTGTGATCAGTATCTTACATTTATATACTGTATATATCTTAGCATGCATGTGAGTAACATAAATAAATACATCTGTTCACATTAAATAATACAATGAATTAGCCAACAGCTTTCTAAACATTGTATAGTAATAGAGTATCGTACCTTGTTATCCATGGATTAATGCAGAAAGATAGAGTTTAAGTGAGAACCTTTAATAGCCTAAAAGGGTATCACCAACTTTAAACTTTCTGTGTGTACTGTAAGTTAATGGTACTGCTGAAGTAAATTTACAGTTTAGAAATCTTTTATAGGAATGTAAATAAGAGAAACATATTTTGGTGTCCCTAATATATTCCAATTTATTGATTAGATAGACTAATTATATAGTTACATACAGGGGTGGACTGACAACTCATGAGGCCCCCGGGCAATAGGGGATCATGGGGCCCCTGTGTCCTCGCCCACACCCAAAAAAGCCTATGAAATAGCGAATGAAAGGTACCAGGTGCATCTCATGGGGCCCCCTACTGACCCCAGGCCCTCAGGCAGTGCCCGAGTGCTCAAATGGTCAGTCCGCCCCTGGTTACATAGTTAGTCTGGCTGAAACAAGACAAAAGTCCATCCAGTTCAACCATAAAAAAAAAAAAAAGTTATAATCCTATGCCCACAGTTGATCCAGAGGAAGGCAAAAAAAAAAACCCCAGCAAAGTATGATCCAATTAGCTCCTGCAGGGAATATAATTCCTCCCTGATCCCCCGAGACGCAATCGGATATTCCCTGGATCAACTTTACCTATACATGTTAGTATCCAGTTATATTCTGTGTATCATTATGATATTAATAAGATAGATAGATAGATAGATAGATAGATAGATAGATAGATAGATAGATAGATAGATAGATAGATAGATAATATAATATAATATCAGTAGAAGATTTGTCAATTTTAAACTATAGGATCAAAAATATTGTTTTGGTGGAAATAACAAGCAACATCATATTTGTAGTGACGTAAACGTGTTTTCCGGTGAACCGACACATTGATACATTAAGGGTAATCAGCTGACTTTGTAATCCACTTAATAGAAGACTTTATTATAGTGTAATTCCCACAGATTTCATTATCAACAAGTATATCCAATATAACATTAACTAACCACTCACTGCAGGTGAATTAATCACTGTAATTTATAACACAGGCCCAAGGCTATATAATTATGCCCTTAAATTATTTTGTCTATTGTGTAGGATGTCTAATGTAATCCATAAAACATTGGCAGCCACATTCCCCATATTCATATGATAGTAATGCAGCCCAAACAGTTGTATCATTCTAATATAATTAAACAGTTGTGTAACTATGTTTAACACAATTTTTTAAAGACTTTCTGTAGCACTTTAGTATAGACCCATCATCAGATCATATAAATTCTGAGCAATCAGTGTAACAGGACAACTAGAACTGTGGTTTAAGGGCCAATTCACACCACATGCAGTCCATTGCATTTTTGTTTCTGCATCAAAAACACATGGACAGTAGATTATATGGATTCCAATGGCATAGTTCCCACCAGTGAAGTTGGTAGATCATGCTGCATTTTTTCTGTACAGAACTGGACGTGAACGTGGCAAAACACATCACAAATGCACCAGAACACATCTAAATGCATCAAAAATGCACCGGAATGTATCACATGAAAAAAAAACAGGAACCCTTGGAAAAAAGAAATATAAGAGGGGGGAAAAAACTGGAACACATTGAAAACACATAAAAATGTACATGCAGAAATGCATCTGGAGCAAATTTTTGTGATGTGAACTGTAAGCAAAAACGCACCCAGAGGGCATCTGGATTGAGTTTTTGTGGTGTGGACCAGCCCTAAAATTCTTTTTGTTAAGGTTTAACCAATAAAAAATTAATTAGATGTGCAAAATTGAGAATATTTTTCACAAATTTCATCAGTAAACATGTTGCAGTTAAATCACAATACAGTGCATGGCAGAAATATATATTTTGCAGAGACAATACAAAAATAGGATTAGAAGGGTGGCATAACAGCAAAGGATATACAATCAAATAAATAATTTAATCAATGAATGCTTGAATAAATAAATATTGCTTATCATGTAATCATATAAGCATATGGTGTATGTATTTAAACACGATACAATAAAAAACGCATTCAAAAACGTTGTGTTCACAAAGTGGAGAAATTGCCAATAGACAGTAGGGACTAATTATATTCTTGATTTTCATTTTCCTAGAGAATAAAGATGCCCTCCTGTTTGGTCACTATGGCCAAGCTCCCTACTTTTATGAGCTCTTTGTCTTTGTTCCAGCATTTCAAGCCTAGGCTCTCTAGTTTCTAGACCCAGGATGGTTTTTATCCAGCTTTCCTTTTTCATCCAAGCTTTACCCCAATCAATATAATATATGACTTGTCAAAAATGTTACAGTTCACAAGTTTAGTTATTTATGAAATAAGGTGTGGAGACAAGGAAGTGTTAGATATATATTTTGCAACCTTAATAAGAGTTAATATGTAACCTGTTGAGCATTGCAGAACATTCCAAAGTGTTAGTAATATGACCATAAGACACTCCTGATTATTTAGCAATGTTTTGTGACCTAGCTATAGATGTATATATATTGTGTACATGGATTTAGACATCAAACATTATCTGACCACATGTTCTCCGTGCCCGTGTTTGTGCAATAAAGCAATAATTTGTGTCACCCTTATCTCTGCTCTGTCAGGTCAAACATTTTCTGTATGATAAATCTTATTTTCCCAAACCACAGGTCTACATTAGAGACTTACCATCATGTCCCCCAAAAATGTTAATTGATATTTGCACACTCTATAATTGCAGTTATTGGATGGGAGAAGTCTGATGCTACTTAAAGCAGTTCTAAACACCCAAATATAAGCTTTAACATGATAGTTAAGATTCAAAAGTTAGTTTTAAGCTTTACAGACCTGCAGCTTTGATGGAAATAATACTTGTCAAAGCTTCCCTGATGACTACAAATGAGATTTAAGTTTAACTCTAAGTTCAGGTTTGAGATTGAATGGCAGTATTTGCACTTTCTGATAGGATTGCAGGTCTGTTCCAGAAATTACGAACAACTCCTAATGCACTGTTTGGGCTTTGCCCTTGGTCAGCTAAGTCACTAGAACCAATATTCTGAAGGAATGGATGACCAAGTCCCTTTAAAAGTATGGGATCACATCTATCATGGTAGATGACATACAGTAGGTTTGTGTTCTGTGCCTCTGTTAATGTGATCCACCCCTTCTATTGCTTGCTACAAAACTGAGGCTGGCTGGGTTTTTTTTTTTTTAAACAGATTTTGATGGATTAGTAAAAATGTGGAAATAGAAGGACGTGGGAAGAGTTAATAAAGACATAGTTGAAGAGATTGGCATATCTGATGCTGAGTCTAGCATTTCTAGAGGTGAGGGAAGGAAAATGTACAGTAAAAATGGATCACACCATAAAAGTATTTTTTAGGAAAAAATTTACACAAGGTTTAAATGTTATTAATATGAAAAGGAAAAATGGGGTTTTGAGTGGACAAAGTGGTACAAGCAAATCTGATGAAAAGGATACCCGCATGAAGGGGCTTTCATGCAATAATGGTATCAAAGAGGGAACATTAGGGCGCAACAATGGACATTTGTGGATATGAGCACTAGGATTGATATTCACAGTTTAGTGAATGGGAAAACAAAATGTCCAGATTTTCCCATAGCGCCCATGCACTTGAACCTCTGGCCAACGCAGCTGGAAGTTTCTAAATTACAGCCTCCTGGTGGCTTGTTTCAATGTAAATCCACCACCAATCACATTGTCCAATGATGTAGATCCAGTGTCAATCAAGATGGACAACGCACAACGACTATCCAAAGTGACAATGTGGATGCTGCCTTAACTCTGAACTGAGACTGGATATTGCTTATGTGTTGAACTGTTTTTGGTACACAGCCAGCTATTTTTGACTGGTGAATGGACATGTGCCACTAATAGGATCACAAGAATTTGTAGATGCCTGATGAGAACTGCATCCATACCCTACTTTCAACAGTTATTCATTTAGGAAAAGGGGGAG